GGCTTAAATATCAGAACAAATCTAGCAAAGAATCAAATAAATCCGTAAGTGAAAGGCCAGAATTCGTTATCCTATCGATCAAGTGATCCATTCCTAACAGTAGCAATACATACTCGTAAGCCAGTGTAAAATGTGGCATAAGTATGAAAACCAATAAACACCATGTAATATTCCGCATTCATGTTTGTGCGCGTTAGTAAATACATTAAAACGGAGATATTATTACCACCAATACTAATTTGAACCACTGAACTGAAGCTAAAACAAGAAATCCTCAATCCAACTGAATACTATATAGTCACAGGACAAAGCAAAAAGAAATAAAATCCATATATGAAAATAAAAGAAACTCGAGAGCAAACAAAAAAATCGCCAATCATAACTTGCCTTGACAAATAAAATATTTTTCTAAAAGAATTGTAATTCCTTACTGAAGTTACACTCACTTTGGAAGCTAAAGAAAGTCAAACAGAGTAAATAAGGCCAAAATAAGATCGGTTGCCACGAAATGTTCCTAGACGATGAAAAATTTTCCTGACATCCTCAGCAACGAAAAAGAACCGAATTAACTGCAAAGGAAAAAACTAGAAACCCTAGCTTCACTAACCTTGTCGGCAAGGAGACAGAAACGATAAGGAGACTAAGTAGGAATCTCGCTGCTAATGGAATCCCCCGACATGCCATCTGCAGGATTAAAAAAACATATATCGGCGATTACTATTATCACAATCACGAAGGCACGCAAAGCATCTTCTTCTGGGAAAACTATATAAGCAAGAAAAAAAAACCAGCAAAACATATTATTAACGTCATTAAAGTGATTACTCGGTAGTTTATGCTCTCCAAACACTCTACTTCGTTAATAAAACGTAAACTGAAACGAAATCTAATGAGCGTTATAGAACAATTTAGCTGCTGCTTCTTGCATCCAATAAGTTGAACCTTTAGTTTTCTACCTCGTGCTATTTTACTTTTTCTTTTTCTGTTCTTTCTTTTTGAAGTTCCATTTTCTTCTGTGGAAATAAAGAGTTCGTACCTGGAAGTAGAAAATAAAATAAAAATATTTACTCACGAAGCGCGAAAAATAAGGGCGGGAAAATGGAAGGATACCAAGACAATGGATCATGCGTTGCTTGCGTATCGTGCGTATAATAATAAATTAATTATACATAGAATTAATTATGTTACATAATAAGTTAATTATAGTAAAACAGAAATATTTTCACACAAATATAAAATTCAGCAATATGTAATTTTTTATAAGGTGAAAAGCGTATTAATTATCAAATTAAATAATAATGATAAAATTACTCGTGTAATAGTATGTATGTGTGTATGTAATGATATCTAAAACAATAGATTTACCATTAGAATAATGATATGCATATATGCGTATAGAGAAATTCATGGATGAAAGAACTGAACTTAGTTTATCAATTTACTCTAGAAGCCATTTAGTTTTAATTTTTTTGTTAGGTTTTATTGTAATTTTTGAAATTATCCGGATGTTTTATTAATTTTATAATACAATTATTTAATAATATTTTTTGCAATAATTTTATTAAATATTATATAATTTTTTTAACACCGAAAAAATCTTTAGTTGAGTTTTCATTGAAGTATTGAGGATTGTTTCAAAATATCAATTGGGTAACAAAAACCACTTGAATATGGATGTTTCAAGACAAAGGTTACAGTTACAAATGACTAAGATAAATGTAATGTTTACTTTATATATTAATTTATATGTCGATATAAATTTAAATTACGGTGGAGATCATTACGTAAAAAATAAAAAATAAATCAATTGGATCTAATAAGTAATTCCTGTAAGTTTTTTTTCTTTTTTTGGTGACAAGTAATTCTGTGGACTTGATTTATTAGTGAATATATTTATCAACTGAAACATAATTTCAAACTTCCGGTTTTCGTTCAAAAAACCAATAGGTTAAATGTTTATGGCCTATTTTTCCATCACATTTATACATAACATCGAAAAATAAAGCAACAGATCAAACAGTCATGAAGTGATACATCACTGATAGGTATACCTTTATAAACAGTGTGTGTACATATATATAGATTAATACATTATGTGCATATTAATTCTGATATGAGATGCTACCGAGTTTTACGATAATCCTTGAAGGGTTGTCCAAGAAAGCATAAATACATCATCAAAAAGTTCAGCCCCAAAGATCGAAGCAGCAATTTAGACACTCAAAACAAGCAAGGCCGGCACAGAGTTGTGTGTATACAATTATGCATTGATCATTCATGTAGGAGCAAGACTGGATGAAGCACATGCAACAAACGCGATCAAGCAACCGACTGCAACAGCTAGTAGCAGCCTTAACCAAAATCTGTGCACCTTCAGGTGATTTTGGTTCCTCCTTTCCTGGAGGGAAATTCTTAGCAGTTCCAATCAGGTTGCCAAAGCCGACACCTAGGCTTCCCAGCAAAATCATTTTCTGGCTACTCATGTCAATCTTCTTCTGCAGATTGATTTTCCCAAGTACCTGAAGTAATAGTGGATTCGAGGAATTAATTTTTTAGCAGATTGGTATAGATGATAAAACATAATAATTGTACTCAACCTGCTGAGAAATAGAAAAAAAAAAAAAACAGGTTTCCTTGCCGGCTAAACATAAAAGAATCCATTAAAAACCTTCAACTATATATAGTTTCCAACGGTTTGCTATCGAGACGTACAAAATGATCAAGTATACCTCTTTTAGTAGCATCGGTTCGGCTACTTTTTTCCCATTTTCAATTTCAGACTTGAGGAATACCATATTGGTGTATTCAGATGGAAATCCTGTTTGTAAGCTAATTTTTGCAACCTATGACAAATAGTTAATGAAGTTAACAATAATGGAAAAATCAGACTTGCAAAAAGTAACAACATTATCAGCCTTTCATTAGCCCCATATAAGAAGTACTTGCTGAGACCCAATCATGAAAACATGAGTAGTGCATCACAATATGGTTTCTCATTGCTGCAAATATAACCTCCTATTAGTCATGTATACTAGCCAAAACCGAGTATTTCTTTGGTTTTTGTGTTTCACTGAAGGAATCATTTAAACCAACTTTGTTGAATTGAATATGACTTCAATCTAATTGAGCTCCATAGTTAATCATAGTGTCAATGAATTCAAAGACAAACCTTTTCTTCAAGCTCTTTACTTCCTGAGAACCATGCATGAGCTGTGAGGATATCAATTTGTCTCTTTGCAAGAACCTGTCAGAGTAAAAGAAAAGAAATATCAGAAGGTACATCACCACATGGTGAGTTTCAAAATTATCTACTTCCATGGTAGTATTTTGTGTCGATGAAGATTTTAGTCCAGAGGACAGGTAGTTATCTCTTGCTAATGATCTATGATAAGCAACTGCATTCCCATGGACACCTGATGTGTTTTAAACATATTATCAAAACGAATTAGTTTGAGCAATCAAATAATACCTAGGGCATGGGAAGCAAGCTTTACTGTTTTTTTTTTTCTTCCGAGAGAAGCCTAGGTAGCTTATATATTCTAAAGATTAGGATAAGCTAGAAATCTGAAATACACTTTGACTGCACCTGAAATAAAGTAACTGGCTAATCATCGTTTAGTGAACAAACAAAATGTTTTCCCTATTCAAATTGAACACGTAGCATAGCTGAAGAAAGTGAACTGTATTTTAATGTTAACCTACTGCACAAATAATAACCACTAGCTCTTTTTGGAAGTTCTTTTAGAAAAATTCTGAACTCAAAAAATTTGAAACACTACCTTGTCAAGAGGTATTTCCTTTGTCCTCTGCACTTTTAGCTCAGTTGTGAATTCATTCATATCTCCCATGATACCACTTACTTTAACAGAGTCTAAAAAGTCTCCTTCATATCTACCTGATATAATCAATGGACATCCAGATGTAAGGTCTGGAGTAAGGAATGGAAACAACTGCAATAACCACAGAGTACAATACATCACTATATATCGCCAGATCCATCGTATTAGAAAAAACTAAAAATACCCATTTTCGTGGCATAGAAAATCATGCTACTAGGTTTAATCCTGATGCACAACCAAAATTTAAATAATTTAACTCATGATGATAATACAGATTTACTCTTGGGATACCTCAATGGAATCAAGGTGTTTCAATGCATCCACCACTATATTGGCTGCAATGACCGAAGAAGCAGCAGTAAATAATCTCTGCATTCTGAATTCAACTGAATCTGGCAAAGCAGAAAGAAATATATGAGAGACCATAAATGAGTATATGACATATTCAAATGGGTCCACCATAAATGAGCATATGACATATTTAAATCAGTCCATTGGATAGAAGAAAGGAAATCTTCATGAACAGATCACATGCTCAGTGCTAAGAACAACCTAACTTAATTTTATAAATGCTCGAGGAAGTTCAAAATTTTTCGCCTCCAAAAGTCAGATAGCAGATCACAGAATCTCAACTTTGAAATAGCATGTTAACTAAATGTAACAAAAATCATCCAAGCATCAGTATCAAAAGTTTCATGCTTTACCATTAGAAAATATTCGTAGCAGTTAACTTGAAATATCACCTTAGCACATGATCATATTGGTCTAAGAACAAGATTAACTACTACAAAAGAAAAAGAAAGAAATGGTGTAGTAACCTGCATCATATGCACTCTCATAGTGTCCCCGTCCAAGTTGGGCTAGCATTTGCAAGAAGTAATGGTTGCAATATAAACCTAGGAAGAATTACAAACATAATAAGTCCATAGATTTGCCGGAAAAAAAGTATAAATGGTGCAAGGGAACAGATACAGTTTCTATATCTTGATATGGAATGATAAAAGCTGCAAGAACTAGAGATATCACATCCATCAGAAGTTATGAGTGGCATAAGATGTGATCCAACCGGATAAAACTGGAAACATTATTTGATTTTGTGCAGCAAACAATGGACCATAAATCAGTTTGATCTACTTGATAACTAGGTCAGATACACCTTGTAACATCTAATTAAAAAAGAAGACAGTCTTTTTTTTTTTAGTAGAAATTTATACATTTTTATAATTATATGACATGTGCTTATCAATAACAACACAATCAATAATACCACGATCTCCTAACGAGGACATATGGGATGCACAGGCCCTAGAACCTACAGCTATGAGGTATATAAGTGTCAACCATCCAACTAAGGGATGGCTAGTCTACGACATTGAAGTGTGAACTTCACTAAATTACATTACGTATGTTTCTCTGTTCAATTTGCTGTACTCTACTTAAAAGTAGATGCGTGAACATAGCTTTTTTTGGTTGGGGTTGGAGGGGTCAGGGGTTGTAAGAGACTGAGAATTTGTGGAATATTTGCTTTTCTATCTGTAATTCATATACTTAAGAGCCAGTCCACATGATGTTATCAAGTCAAACAAGTTATGAATAGTTTAAAACTACGGCAGTAAAATATTGGTGAAACATAAACCCTTAGACTCATTACCAATGCCAAATGTGCAAATTCGAGGAGTAGTTGATCTTTCACTTGTGAGGTAGCTTTTCATTACATTGCAAACTTCTATTTCATCCTCAACAGCCCCATCCGTTATCAGGAAGATTAAAGGAATTGTATCAGTAGTTTCTCCCAAAAGCTTCATTGCCTAAAGTAAAGCAGATCAGGTTAGAAAAGATAAATAACAAGCTAAGACATTTATCTTGTTAAACACTTATTTCCTTGAAATTTTTCATTATTATTCTTTTTCCATTACCTACTCACTAAAAGAGCGGAATAAAATAATAAAAAAATATATAAAGAAAGGAAGGAAAACATAATGCAAAGGAATTCTTTTAGTGGATATTTGTGAGATGCACCTGTTGAAGGGGAAGCAAAATGTTGGTTCCATCACCAACTAGTAAATTGTTACTGAGCCATTGAGTAGCATTTGCAATTTTTTCTTGGGTAGCCAACTCCATAGATGAGGAAAATGAATAGATCTCCTCATTGAAGCCAAGAATGTTAAATGAATCTTGTGGATTGAGCTTAGACAATGTAGCTATCAGTGCATTCTTTGCTTCATCAAGAGGGGCTCCTTCCATGCTCCGACTTATGTCAATCAGAAAAATCACTTCTCTTTTGAACACCTATTGATTCACTAGCATAGTGCAAAATTAAACATGTACAAGGTAGCTTATCAAAACAAGAAGGTTCAAGAATGCAGCTCCTAGTAGCAGCCTCATGCCCAGCCCTTTTAGCTTCCTAATTGCCCCTAGAAGTTGTAGTAGTCGTTGCACTTCAAATTGGTTTTCCTCTAGTTTAGCTTTTAAGTGATTTCTGGTCACAATGTTACATTTATCCTCTTTTCTAGTTTTTAATGCAAACTTGTTAACCTTTCTATTTTCTAAGGAAAGAATTGCTTGAAAGAAACTAAGGGAAACTCCTTTAAAGGGAAAAAAAGAAGAAAAATTGGGAAACCTTTCCTCACAAGGAAAAGAAAAGAAATTTTGCAATTGACATTGCTGCATGTTATTGTTTGTCCACATTATAATCAAACTGACATGTCATCATCAGAAGGCAATTACTAAAGTAATCCTCTGCAAAGAACCTAAGAAAAAATATATCTTCCTATAAATACATTTAATATCAAATATAAGTACTAATATAAAAATCATCCACACAGACCTTCCTGTGCTGATTAGCTCCTGGGAGCAGATAGAGGCAAAACATCTCTCTTTCATCAAAATCGAGTACAGATGGAGATTTCAAGAGCACACCACCAGTAAAGTCATTTGAAGAAATCTGTGACCACTTCAAGTTTAGTAAATATACATAATGCGTCCCTGTGCATAAGTTTATTAGAATATACGTTATTCAAATTCTCACACTATATGAACAACTGAAGTCCACATTTGACCATGCTGGTACTTCTGCCTCGTACAAGAAACTTAACTTCCCAACATTGTGATTTATCTCCTGCTTAACGAAACAATCAAATTATATCATATTATATCATTCTTGTTTTAAACTGATCAGAACTGAAAAACAATCGTGCACCTTCAACGGATGACTAGTACATTTGCATAAAATTTCTCTGCCAATGCCAGAATTCACATTTAAGAGTATCTTTTCTCTCTTAGAAAGTTGCTTCCCAACAGGAATGACATATGCTGGGAAACTAAAAGGTACATTGACCAAAAATTGACCATCCTGGTACAACAACCTCTGGGACCAATCAACTCTGATTGAAAGAAGAGAGCCTCCTCCAACCTAAAAGGTGAACGACATATGAGCATACTGGAAATGGTGGCAATAAACTGAAAACAAATAATTCAGAAAGCAAAGGAGTAATTAACTACCAATGGTATCTTTACTGTATATATGTGAGACTTCAAAAAGCCTCCATATCCACCTCCAGGTACTCTTTGGAGGTCTTTCACATCTTCTGTGGTCTTCAATATGGTATTATATGATCTTCCACTTCCATGAATATCAACCTCAACACCTAGAAGTGAACCCTGTTAGCCACATGATTATTTTTCTTGAGAACTTTAAGACAGTTGGCCTTAAATGATTACAACCAAAAAAGGAAAATAACATGTAAAACAATTGTATTCAATTATCAAATAAAAGGTTTCCATGAGCGTACTGCCATGGAATAACGACAAGATATTGCGTGTCTTCCACAACGTTTTTTATGCAAAAAGAAGAAAGACAACTGATTGCAGATCTTCTTTATGAGAACCGACGAAGCAAATATTTCTCAGAAGTAGTAAAAAGAAATTGAAATATTTCCCTTCCAAAAAATACTGCTAGGCCCCAGACGAGGAAAATAGAACCGAAAAAACTTTGATATTCTGCAAACGTCGATGTCTTGGTAGCCCAAAGTACGCATCATTTTTTCTTTCCATCTGACAAGGGACGCACAGTCCAGAGTCGAACATACACCCCGAGGAGAGTGGTGGAATTACCAACAATTCTAAATAAGTTCTAGATGACGACGACATGAATTTAGTTGTTGTTGAAGTACCCTTATAGGCTAACAAAAAAAGAAAAGAAAAACGGACTAGCTAGCGTAACCACTCTAATTATATTTGCATCATATGCAAAACTTGTTTTATCAACAAATAAACTGGTCAAAGAATTCTACCAATCAAATGGGTTAACTATACAAATTAGCAGTTAAAATTTTGAAGGAAATTGACATCAAATCTGCCTTCGCTTGAAACTAGTGGATTTCCGTTTCGGCCTAAGGACTAAAGATAAATTAGAAGAAGAAAAAATTAATCAATCAGAAGTTTTCAGAGCGGCAAAAGAAAAAGGAAGAAAAGACGCCAAGAAAATTCATTTTCATTGCTGCTTAAATGCTATGACGGTCAAAGTCTCTGTATACCTTCTCTCCCAATGGCACCGCAATGCAGCAATCGCACCTCTCGCCAGCCTTGATGCAATGCACGCGCCATTCACCTTTAACCGTCAAGAAGGCTGTGTCCAGCCAGCAGTCGACTTCCATCTGGACGCCTCGCATATGCAGCGGCACCAGAGCAGGCGGTTCGCACCTCCCGTGAACGTATGGTTGGTAGCTCGGAACGTCCGGGTTGTCCACCGAGGCAGGCTCCGAAACCGCCGCGTAAACCATCACTGCCGTGGGAAGCAAACTGTCTGGAGAAGATTTCGCCGGCACGGGCTCCGGCAACGGAGGCATCTTCACATCCTTGCCATAATATATCCGTCTCGAGAGCATGAGTCCATACTCCGCGGAGCTCGCAAAGTCGCTGGACATCCCTCCTCTGGAATTTTCTGTCCGTGCAGAGAGAAAATTGAAGGTAAGGTTCAGGTTCAGGGATTATTCGTGATGAGACAGAGAGACTATTTTCGAATATTGAAAATGAGAAGACATGGAAAGAAAGAGTAACATACGAAGAACTCCGTTATACATCTTCGGTTTCTGCTGTGCTTTGAAATGCAGTTAAATAGCCCGGCTGTTGAAGACGAAGAGGTCCGTTTGTAATTACTGGAGGAAACAAAACTTACTAGTAACGGACCAATGATAAATCGACACGTACGCTATTCACTGAAGCTGTCAACGAATAAGGCAATTTTGACTATAGACTACAGGGTAGGCATGTTGTCGGCTGTGGGCTCCACTTATGGGAGAAAATCAGTGCACTGTTTGAAAATAGATAAACCAATTAAAGCATGCCACGTGACAGGCAGTGGTACCAAATTCTGTTCTTTTTATTTTTGTCATGGATTATGGCATCGGTTTAATGCCAAAACAGGGTGGTGCCCGTTTCTTAATCAGAAAGTTGGAACCAAATAATCTTATATTAATAACTTCATTTAAAGAAGTCTTAATCAGTCTAGCTTTTTAAAATATATGTTTATAATTTTAATAATAAAACATTAAATGTGTGGACAATTATTTAATTGTGGATGAAAAATGTTTATGCTAATTTCTTTTTTTTTTTTGTTTGGAAAATAAATTATTAAGTAAAAGGGGAAAGTAACTAAAATTTAATAAGAAATAATGAATCTATCATATTACTGTTATCCACAGTTAAATCAATAAACATATATACTATAGCTAGTAAATTTAATGACAATAATACATTAGAAAAATAAATAAATATTGGGTATTTAACTAGTTATAAAAAAAATTATAATTAATTGTAAACATTTTATAAAAAAAAAAAAAAACATTAGGAGATTCCAACTAATCTATTTATGATTATGAATATGAAGCAGAGAGAAAGTCAACGAGTGGAAAAATTATTAGGGATTATAATGAGATTAAGAAACATCATTATTTCTCTTGCTTTATTTCGTACTAAATATAATTTATTGGGGGATAAATATACATGATAGATGGAAGGTATAAATAAATAAATAAATAAACAAAATTATTTAGTTATATTTAAAATTTATGTCGAATGGTTTTTAAAATTTTATTTCAAAATAAAAGATTAGAAGGTTTATATCTAAATATATAATATAAATTAAATTATAATAATTTATATAAGTTTTTACTAACTTTAATAAATTACTAAAATTAACATAAAAATTATATTAAAAAGTTTTAGTATTTTTTGGAGATATTATTACCATTATTATTAGAGTGTCTGCCGTCCATTTACTGGAGACATAATTAGCATTATAGCGAGGACCATCGTCGTCTCTCGTGGGCCCCCGATCATCGACCTCAGCGCTCACGAGAATTAGGAGGGTTCCCTTCATGATTGATTGCGGGGAAAACAAAGTTCTTTGCTTTTCATTTTTTTTTTTTTTTACTTTCAAAACGACAAAGTACTCTGTCGTTGTCTGTTTGGTTTTATAATAAAATATTAGACTAAATTGAGATTTGGTTAGAAATTTTGGACACTCTTAATGGGACCCATAGAGATTCCTCCACTGTCAGTTGTCAAAACGTCGCCATTTCGACCTTCTCATCGTTAATATTTGATTAAATATATATATATATATATATTTATGTATATGTAAAATTATAAATAATAGGCTAAGTACTCTATTTTATCACCAAAATTGTTCGCTGATTTTAGAATTTGTTAAGACTATATCGAATGCTAATTAAGAGTCTGATATTTTTTTTATTCAATCCATTCTGAATTAAAATAAATTATTTTTTAATTTATTAATTAAATATTAAAAATAAATTTATCTAAAACTATATATTTGGATGATGAGATTAAAATTAACTATTTTTTTTTATTTTTATTTTTAGTATGTAAATTACTGAATCAAATAATATTTAATATGATTTAATTTTGACAGTTTAATTCAAATTTTTAGTATAATCTAAAAATTCACGTCCTTACTTTTTAATTTCTATTTTTTAGTTAATCAACATTTTAAATTTATTTTAGGGGTTTCTTGTGGTATGAAGTAAAGAAAAGCACATGGCTACCTAATTCGGGTTTTAGCTGTTAAGGGTTCTTAATTTGTTTGTTAAGGCAGAATCCGGATAAGAGTTGACGGGGAGATAATTCAGTTTAATTATTTTAATCCAATGTTCTTATCTTTACCTACATAACTAACACAAGAACAAGATAAAGGCACGATATTAATAATAAAAACTAGCCCATAACTTTTTACACAAAAATGATAGGTTAGTGTTATTAATTAATTATGATTATCATAATCAAGAGAATTTATTTATTATATTTTTTTTATTTATTAATTCATGTTAATTATCGTATCTCTGTTAATTAAACTATTTATATTAAATAATATGTTAAAATATTTAAGTTATATTTTAATATTATAAATTTTAATTTTACTAAATAGGTAGATCCTGCTATTTTACGAACTTATGGTGACCTGACTTTCGCGTTTATTTAAAAAACGAAACAAATGAATAGAATCCACATCCAAATGGATCCCACATAATCCGGTTCTTGCAGAAAGACATGAACATTGTGATGCCACATGCGATATAAATTGAAGTAGCCTAATAACTAATGCATACGCCACGTGGTACTAATTAATGTCGCGCCCTGCAATAACAATACCAAACAACATCTTTGCCCTTCTTGGTTTCTCTTATAGAGGCAAACGTCAATGCAAGCACAAATTTGGGCAAGAAATTTAAGACAACCCCCCCAAAAAAAAAATAAAATAAATTAAACATTATATTAAAATTCTAGAGTCGATTAATGATGTATTATATTGTATGGTTTGGGGAGGATTTCATTTAATAAAATTGATTGTGGGTTTAATTTTTGCTTTTATTTACAATTTATATCAAAACAATTTGAGAATTAAAATATCACATTAAGATTTAAAATAACAGTTTAATTTTTAAATAAAATAAAATAAAAAAATTTGAGAAGAAATATTTAAATAACTTGGTTAAGTTTTGATCCTTATATATTTTAATACATATTTTTGTTCATTAGGTTTTATATCTATTTGAAAAGTATAAGCTTTATATATTTTTAATGAAAAAAAAAATAAAATAATTATATCGTATACAATCCACCAATTAAGAAGGGCCTTCGCATCAGAATATTTCACGATCAATGAAAACAATCAGAATCCATTAAGATAGTTTCCCATTAAGTAAAATATATTAAAATAACATAAGAACCAGAACTATGGATTCCTTAGGGTAGAAATTGGATGCTTATATTTCAAAATGTTAGTCAATTTTTGACCATAAGAAAAATTGTAGTGCAGGGTAATGACTACTCCTGCATGCTAAGACTACTAATACTAATATAATAATTAGAATTATTATAATTTTTTACTAACGGAAAATTAACCAAAAAGAATACCAAGAGTAAGTACTTTAACCATGACAGTGAACTTACGATATCTTCTGTTTTTTTTTTTCTTTTTTGAAATAAAAACTTGTGATCTTTTGATAGTAAGTTCTTTGCAAGAACCCTTATCCCTCCCTTTACAACTACCAATTTTCTATCCAAAAAATCAACTCATGAGGAAAGCACCTTTCTGAATGGAATTCTGTATCCACAAGCTACCTCGTAGCAGTCAGGCCAAAACTTGCTGCAGAGCAACTAAAGTATAGGTTCGTCTGTAAAACATTGTCATTAATTAAATTAGCACCTTTGGTCGTTGGACTTTCTCAAAATGGGATGCAATTCTGTATTTAAATTTCGGAGAGCAAGAAAATTCTAAAATGATGATAAGGACACTTTTATTCTAAGGTTACATACCATCATTATCATCTTCCATGTTGTAATCATCTTCATCATCATCAAAATCAATGTTCTGCAAGATTGTTAAGGGCATTAGACAAAATTCACCTTCTTTTACCAAAAGAGAGATCTTTCTAAACAATAATATGTTTCAAAACTTTCCGAATATGTCTTGCAAGTGCATAACAAATTATTCATCTGTACAAATTCATATATGCAGACATGTTAAAATGCTACGTGGAAATTCAGAAACCTCTTCAAATGCACAGAGATATAAGCCTATAGAACAGAGAAAGATGAGATCAAAATCAACAAAAGCAAAATGCATTCTCAGGAGAACCTGATTATAATCTCCATCGTCACTGTATTCCTCTTCGTCCTCGGGTCCTCCATCTTCATCTTCATCCTCATCTTCACCTTCTTTCTTTTCCTTCCCATCTTTATCCTCTTGGCCCTAGAGGACAAGGTGTGAAAAATAATAATGAATTTAATGAAGTAACAAGCATCAATTTCTTCGAGAAGAAAATGATGAAGTATGAAGCACCTCATGGAAAAAAAGAAAACACATTACATGGCAGATGATATGACTTAAATGGCAAAAAGAATAGGGCATACAAAATTTCATTTGGTAGGCCCTTTCACATCTTACAGATGTAGTTTTCAATTACTTAATGCTTGAAACTGAGTTGCAAACTACAAAATTTTACCTGATGCTTCTGTTCAAGCTTCTCGAAAAGGTCTAATTTCTGCAGGTCTGTAACAAATATGAATCACCTATATTAGTTTGATTAAACATCTAAAGCTTATGCTGCATCTCTTGAAAAATCTGTAGAAACTGGCCTATGCTGTAAGTGTGAGACTCTAAAGAGTAATGGCTTAGATGAGCAATCTCCCTATATCACAAACTAAACATCCAAATTTAAGCATTCATATTTGCTAACAAAAAACATGAAAGTCTAATATTAGCTAAAGCACAAGGAATGTCATCAAGGCGTACCACTCAATGGACAAAATAGTTAATTTGAAGTTAAATGACAAAATGCAATAGGTGCCTTCGACATTATTTATGCCATTAAGTATCTGTAAGAGGTATTGTAAAAGTGGGGATGGAAACTATGAGAACAATGCGGGCTATCACAACATACCTGCATCTGGATGCCAACGTACTTTTTTCAAATGTCGCTGCTCCCTCCTTGATTCTGAAATTTTATCACATCAGATTTCCCAAAACTATCAATAAAGGATGGAATATGATAAAACCTGTCTATAACACATTTTGTCAAGAGCAAAACTCAATTGTTATTGTAAGTTGTCAGACCTCCAATGAGCTCTTTAGGAAAATTATGATATCCGAGCTGTAGAAATTGATAAAGCGACTTGCGTCTTGACGTGATCTTTGGCTTCCCTATGTCAGTATATCTCTCGATGCCCATGCTTTGGCTCTCTGATATCATATCCATAAAAAAATTGATTTGACATTCTTAATTTCAGAAAAGGAGAACAAATGTTTCTTTTATCCACACAAATTTTTCATGAAAAAGAAAGAAATATTTTTAGATAAGGTGAAAAAAGGACATAAGAGAATGTTTATTCACAAAATCAGCATAAAGATAGAGTGTAGATATTTGTTCCAGGCAGAGGAACATGCAAGATAATAGTAATTTTATAATGTGAAAATCACTGGAAATTCACACACGACAAGTTAAAAAGTTCCAGTGATTAACTTCCAAAATGATTGAAAGGCCTCACAAGTAGGAAGCAACACAGTTACATGAACTATCCTTTGATAAGAATTTACATAACTAACGTACTAACCAATAATAAGAGTTAGGATTAAAGATTATAGTTCACCAACACAAAGAACTAGAATGTTGATTTAGTCAGTCAATAAAACAGTTCAAGTCACACTTATCCTTGCATTTCTGCAACCTATTGAATTACGATAAAAGCTTATTTTTATAATAGAATGTGTTGAAGCAAAAATAAATCTAATATTACCTGCTACCACGTTGAAATTCTAGTTGAAACTGTTAAACAATAAGGTAACATTACTCACTCCTAACTTTTTGCATACACTTTGTTTAACTTTATTCAACAGATGTCAACCCAAAAATGCAAATAAGGTCTGTTACGTAGCAGCCGATTCTCTAATTTTATTTTTTTATTTAGAGGATGTTTGGGATTGCTTATTTGCTGCTAATAAACAGTTTTAAGCATATCTTTCTTATTTCTGTGTTTGATAACATAAAAAATATGGTGTTTATGGGGTTATGAATAGTGACTATCGAAAAGGTAGAAAATAATCTATATGTAAAAAAAGGTATAAAGTAACTAAACTTTTATGTTCTTATTTTTCTATCTCAATAATTTACTTATTACCATCCGCATGCCCTCTTAAAATTAATAAAATATACAGTAATATAAAGATAAAATATTTTTATTAAACACACATATTTTTGTTAACTTTCTTACTAAACACAATTATTTACTGTCTACGATCAAGATTTCATCCAAACATGTAACTGCTTATTTTCTAAGTAATTATTTAGCTGCTTTAATAACTTTTATTTTGAATATAACTGCTTTAATAACTTAAAGCACCCTATAACTTCTAATACACTTTCAGCAATCCCAAACACCTTTTTAATAACAATAATCCATCTACTAGGAAAACATGTTAGGTGTCATTGCCAACAAAAATTTTAACCCAAATTGAGGCCTATCCTCTTATTAATTACAGTCCAACTTATTCACAGAAAGAGAAACAAAGGAGAGGAAATAATATGCTTACCCTTTGAAACATTATCTTCAAGAAAGTAAGGAGAGGATTTCCAATAATTTTGCAGTCTTGAATTCCAAATAATTAAGTTTTTATCTTCAGGAACCTCTTTAGTTTGACTGTCAGGTAATTCAATTTCCTACAATTAAACCAGGAGAAAAAGAAAAAGAAACAAAATCAACAACTACCTGACACTTGCACTTTTTTTTAGAAGGTTGAACTTACAAAACACACAATTCTAAACATGTGGCAGTCAGCACAACTAATATCAATGCCTATTTCATGTACATTTGACTTTTGATGCCCAAAAGTTATCGCTTTTATCCTGTTAACACGGTTAGAATTAAGAGTCTAACAAAAGATGTCGATAAACCATATTGCAATGCCCAAATGACAGCTGTAAATTCATGTACAGAAAAATCAGATGGAGTAAGAAAAGAAAGAGACTGTTGCTATTTTAGGATCAAAGTCTGTTTTGGCATCATCCAGCCAAAGAAAATACTATCCCAAATGTGGTAAACATGGGTTAACCATAGTTAATTATCTCGCTACTTGACTACTGAACACAAGTTCAACTCAAGCAGGGACAAATTTAGGCAATGCCAAAGATATTATGTGCTAAAACAAATTTCTCAATGAAGCAGATAACTAAAAACTCACAGGAAAGATCTCAAATGGCTCCTGCTTAGCATAGCCAAAACCACCACCACGACCTCCATATCCTCGTCCCCGCCCACGTCCCCTAAATGCCATCTCTGGAAGAAAAGGCTATATTAGCAATCGTAGGAAAAGAATGTTATATACAGCAGTTAACACATAGTCAGTTAGGAAAAATCAAAGTAATCTTCATTTTCAAGACACAAATCAACTATATCGCGCTGCTATAACAAACTCAACTATGTGAAAACTTTTTATGGATGATTTTGGTCATAATCCAAATTGAGTCACGACTGGCAACAAGGTACGGGTAGGCCTACCTTTGTGAATATACTATACTCACTACTATAACAAAGGATCAACTCAACTATAATGCAAATTCTATTTAGTAACAACTCAACTAGGAGTCATCACTAACCCTAATTAAGTAGGTGTCAAGACACTGAATATAAACTAGGCTGAAAACACTAAAAAACTCGGGCAGATGAAAGGTTTCAGGTTGGCTGTTAACAGATTTAAAGGGCTAAAGGAAACATGATTCAGAGAATAAAACAGGAATGCATTATCTCATGTACTGTACCAGTAAATAACAACCACCATAAAGTTCAGAAAACTAAAAGGAAATAACTGACCAGCAACCTCCATTCAGTCTCTAGTA